ACAGCTGTGTGTGTAATATTAATGCTGCATGTGATTAATACTGTCATCTAAAACCAAACACCACAGTATGCTGCAAACTACTGTCAACTCTTAATACAGTCATACATGAATGTCATGCAAAGACAATCAGTATCAGGACAGTAATACATCTCAAGTAAGCAGGGAAATCCCCCCAAAAAACAGTGATGAGGGTCAAATTTTGAAAGATGAAACTGAAAAAAATGATTAAAATTTTTCCACGGATGTACGGTTGTTAGCATAGGATAATATTTAGCCAAGATATATGACAATCTGGAATCGGAAAGTGTAAAAAACAAACAAAAACAAAACTAAATATTGGGAAAACCGCCTTTAAAGTTGTCCAAACTAGATTAGAACACACATTACTAATCAAACAAATAAGTTTTGGTATATTTACAGTAGAAAATGTCCTCCTTAAACCCAATCTTTACATATTCTAATGATTTTTGGCATTAAACAAACCTTAATTTAGACCCATACAATTATTTTTGGGGTGTTGCTGTGCAACACAGATAATTATTTTGTGCTTATGCAATTTTGTATTTACTCTTTTGTGCTGTATATACAAAATATACTATATATAATATCATAATGTATAATAATCAGTTCTAAAGGCTTTGAGCAAATGATGGAATTTCCTAAAATACACTTCCAACCAGTACAGAAATGAAGGCAGATCACATTCTCAGTCAGTCTCTCTGTTGCATATTGTTTTATTTTAAGTAGCTAGACTATATCTAGTGAAAACAGAGAAAGAACTCTGTAGATGGCTTCATAATCTTGTTCTGTGAGCAAAATCATCAGTTTTTGTCATGACTGAGATATTAAAATACTCGATTTAATGAAAGGAAATAACTGAAATTCTAGCTCTAAAGTTTTTGAATTGGCGGTGGCTTTTCTGTTTTGGTGGTACAATGCAGATGTGAACCTGCGCAACAATGTAGTTTTTCACATGCAAATGGTTTATGAGACTGTACATGGTTGTTTTTATAGCACACTTGTGCTTTCAAACTGTAACAATACACAAATGGGTTTGTGTTTTTTTCAAGATTTTAAGATTGCAATAATTACGTATTACAAAAATACATTGCACATACATTTTACATTTGTTTATATATTTACAAGGAAGGATCATACATAATAATTAAGTCCATATAGAGCAATAACAACATTAATAAAAGTATTTTAAAATAGCAATAGTGTTTTCTTTTTGCTTTACAGTTTTGGCTGCTAATAAAGTAGGCCAGTGGTTCTCAAACTTTTTTCATCAAGTATCACCTCAAAAACAAATTGTCTCTCCAAGTACCACCATAATGAGCAGTATTGAAATACAGTAGCGCAGTACAGCACAGTAAAGCAGCTACAGCTCTGCACAGTTCAAAACGTGGCAGATTAATTCCTGTTATTAAGAATATTTATTGATGTCAGCCAGTTTAAACATAAATAGTATGAACATTAACACTGTACTGTGCTTATATGTAAAAAACAAACAAACAAGCAACTAAAAATGTCAACATTTTAATTAAAATGTGCTTTTAAAGGTTAAAAATGGTAGGTTACTGTTCTTAAAGTGCAAAGAAAAGTGCTGAACTTAAATGTAAAGTGTTAGCATATAGTATAGCCAATTCATCAACATCTGGAAATGTTGCCTGGACCTCAGAAACATAGGCTATTTGTAATATAATAATTATTATTACATGTCATATTCATACATAAATCATTTTTAATAAATTTTTGAAATATATGTAGCATGTACATATGACATATTTAATTCTTCCACGTACCACTAGAAGGAAGCCCACGTACCACAGTTGGAGAACCACTGAAGTAGGCTATACCTGAAATGCAACTTCCATGTGCCAGCACAGGCATGTACACTCAGTTCTATTCAAGTTTATTTGTATGCCGCTTTTCACAATAACTATTGTTCAGAGATGCTCAAACTAGGGCCAAAGTTGGCCCATGGTAAGCTTTGATTTGGCCCACCATGTAATCTGAGAAGAGAGGGAGAATGAATGAGATGGTTTCGAGATTGTCAATTCAAATTTAATGTAACCTTTGCTTATTTTAATATTAAAAGCTAAGTGAAATTAAATGTTTTAATTAGATGGTATAAATTAAGTCAGATTTTGTTTAAATGTATTGTCAGCTGAAAATACAGAGACTTTGATGAGCAAATCAAGTCAAAATAAATGTGATTATGTTTTTATTGCAACAAGTTATCATTTAAAATGTTATCCTGCATTAAGTAATGCAATTTAAAGTAATGCTTTTGATTTATTTTGTAATATTATGAAATAAATGAGGAAACTACCCATGGCAACTATAGTTTGGTATATTTACCTTCGGCCACGGCTCTCAGTTTTTGGTTTTTGGCCCCTTCATACGAAAAAGTTTGGTTCAAGAAGTGCTCATTAATGCATTACAATCAAATTAAAATGATTATTTATTTTAAATACACACTATGAGTCTAATCTGACTTTACTTGTCGGCTATATGTAGTCACAAACACCAATTTCACAAGAAAAATGTGTCTTTAGAGCACTAACAGTGTTTATCACCGCTGGGCGCCATCATGCATCTAGGACTGAACCATTACGGGCGAGGGAGAAAGGAGGGGGGCGGATCAAATTTACGTGAACATATTTTTTATAAGTAGTAGTTCTTTAGTTTAATACAGATCAGATCAAACGATTTTAACACTATATAAAGGGAAGACTCTCGCCCAACCAAACACACATCTCGTATTGACAACCTTCAGGGAAATCAAGCATTAAACACCACACCCCCTCCCCACATAATTGCGATTATCAATAAATAATTAATGTTTGTGAGTAGTTCCAGCTCGAAATTTGACGAACGAGATATTGTAAAATGTAATAAGAAACTTTTTAGAAAAGAAGAAATGTGTTTAAACACAGCTAAGATTTACATTTTCGGTAGAAAACATCTATTTTCTTTTGAATGGCGCTGCCTTGCGCTGCTGTATGCAAATGAGTCATGACGTCAAACATTCCATCGTATTCTTATAATGATGTAGACTGCAGACCGGCTCATTCTCTTACAACAACTCGAGCGAGCTGCACCGAATAACTATAGATCTGCGTTTTACGTCTGATTTATGGCGTTTTCAGTTGATTGTGATATTACAAATATTCAGTTCGCCGTTGATAACAATTCTCTCGAGTTTGGAAAGAAACCTAAAGCAATGGGACGAGTTAGAAAGAGAGTAAAACAGTTCTGTAACTGGGCCTCTCGGAAATCCGGGAAAGCCCAGCAGAACCAGTGCACATCCGAGGGCGACCTCGAGCACCGGAGATGTTCTGATGACGAAGCCGGACCGAGCAACGCTACGTTCATCTCCCACATTCACACTGGAGCTGGTGTTTCACCAAGCCCAGCACCACAGACAAGAGAGAAGAAACTTAAGAGGCTCTGGAAATGGTTTTCTCGGAAATTCAAGAGAACTAGAACCAGAGCCCCACAGATCCAGCTGAGCAGCCCACAGCCTCAGAGATCCCCTGACGGCGAAGCTGCGTGTGTGTCGCCGAGGACAGTTCATGACGAGCGGGTCAACAGGCGCGTGTCTATCCAGACCCCTGTGAAGACCCCGTCAACAGAAACTGAACGGCACGACGACACTGAATACTGGGACTTTTCTGGATCTTCTCTTACCATAGCGGGAAACAGCGAATCCGACCGCGATTCAATGCACAGCTGGCACTCGTGCGCGTCTTCGCTTGGCACCCCGGTTAGTGAATCTGACCGCGCATCAGTGTTAAGTTGGCACTCTTGTGCGTCTTCGCTGGGTACCGCGGGCATCAGCGAATCTGACCGCGCTTCAGTGCACAGTAGGCAGCCTTGTGCGTCTTCGCTGACCGCTGAACACCACAACGATGAGGAAAACGCTTCCAGCGAGGACTCCAGCGTGTCCGAGGACAGCACATCTTCCTCATCGGATTTTTGGAAAACAGAACAGGAAACCACATTCAACTGGGAAGGAAATACAGGTCAGTTTATCAGGTGTTTTTATCCTGAAGTACATTGTACTTCACTACAAGTTATATAACAATTCCAAACTAAATATTGAGCTTTTTACTCCACTGCATATGATAATGATAGTTACTTAAGTTCTGAGTGAACATATTATAAAATATATTACAGAATATGTTATTACGAATAGCTCTATACTATAACTTAACTGTATTCATGAGAAAAAAAATGTTCCTTTAAGAAAATATTTCTGAAGTGTTTTTAAGAATTGCACTAAAAGCATTTTGAATCATAATCATTTTTAGCTAATCAAGCTTTTTTGTGAATCTGACCAGGTTTATATGTCAGCAAGTACTGATGTGAAGTGTTTGAGATTATTTAAACCACTGAACCTGACCCGTGCATGCCAAGCTCAAACGTTTGAGTGTCTGTCTACCATAACATGGCTCAGATTGGGGCTGCATGATATATCAAATTTAGCATGCAATATCCATACAGCAGAAAGTTCCTATATAGTTATGTGTCAGAATAATAAAAGAACAGATTTTTAAACATACCTATGCCATGATATACCTATAATATAGATATGAGAGAACAATTGATCTGATTGAACCAGTCCATTATAAGGCACCTTCAATAATAATAGTTTGTTAAAATAGAGCTATTCTAAAGCAATCTTCACTCAGACTTTTGATGGTTTTTGCTTAAAAATGTACTTCATTGTTTGTTTCTTTGTTTTATTTACAGGTAGAATCTCCCAGGACTATAAAATCCTTCACTTGATTGGTCAAGGATCAACAGGAGTCATCTATGAGGGAATTCGTCTGTCGGATTGCCGAATGGTTTGTTTCAGACATAACAGAAAGATTTTGGGCTTTTCCCTTGAAATGTAAATTTGACAAATGCCGCATGACTGGATCGTGTGTATTAACTTTTGCTTTCTCTTGGTCAACAGGTGGATATCAAATGCGTGAAGAATACAAAATCAATGGAAAGGATCACGATTGTAAGTTCACACTCGCAACATTGTTAAAAATAGTCTCCACTTCAGTTCAATCACATCTCACTAATACGTCTATTATCTCTCCTGCAGGAACCATCTGACAAGACTGTTCCACAAGAGGTCGGTTTGATGACTATGATGAGCAGAGGTCCGAAGGTTCCTCAAGTAATACAGCTGCTGGACTGGTATGAGGCACCAGACCAATACATACTGGTGCTAGAGCATCCCAAATCAGCTGTGAGCCTGGACCAGTTTGTATCCTCTTGCGGGAACAAAATGAGCGAAGCGAAAGCACGAGTGGTGATGCACCAGGTGATCACTGCTGCCAACGCATGCTGCGAAAGGGGAGTCTACAATAACATCAAGCTGGAGAGCCTGCTCATCAACCCCCACACCTTGCAGGTCAAACTGATGGACTTTGGCACAGGAAGCCGCATGAAGGACACTGGCTATAAAACATTTTGGGGTATGTATGATAATGGCCACAATTTATGTGAAGTTATTTTGTTAATATGGATATTTAGACAAAAAGCTAACTGCATTGGGACTAAATCTTTCTCTTTCTTCCAGGCTCAAGGGCTTGTATTCCCCCGGAGTTCTATCAGAAGGGAAGGTTCCACGCCAAGCCTGCAATCGTGTACTCTTTAGGCAAACTGTTGTTCAGGATGCTGTGTGGACGCTACCCTCATATGGAGCTCCACAAGATTGTCAAAAGAACCTGGCAGCCTGAAGACCTATCCAAAGGTAAGCGCATGTGGATGATGAAACAGGATCTTAAAACATGTGATCATTTACACCAACCGTAAAGTTTTCTAATAACCTGACATCTCCCCCTTCTTTCTTCACAGAAGCCGTAGATCTGATCTGCTCGTGTCTGCAGAGTAAGCCAGACAAGCGGCTTTCACTTGACGAGATCCTTCACCAGAGGTGGTTCCAGGTCTTCATCCTGAAGCCAAACAACAGACGAAAAGATTAAAAAGATCAGAACATCCAGCCTCATCATCCAGCCGTCAACACCAAACTTCTCCTCTTCATCGATCCACTAACACCGAACTCCTCCTCTTCATCCAGCCGCTAACACTAAGCTCCTCTTTTATATTCAGCCAGAAACTCTGTCAAGCCACGAACATGGGGCAGTTTGTGGCTTTTCGAAGAGAAAAAGCTGAATGGGGCTGGTGTTTGTGGTTGTGTGGGAAGGAGGAGCTGTTTGGGGCTGGTGTTTGTGGTTTGATAAAGAGGAGGAGCTGAAGGGGGCCGGCGTTTGTATCTGGATGAAGAGAAGAAGATTTTTGTTTATTTTTGGAGATTGTAAATAAATGCTTGTTCTGTATGTAATGAATAAAAATGAATACTTTTCACATATAAAGTGTTTTCATTTCGTTCAATATTAACTTAATGCACTCCTATAGTTAAAGTGTTGAACTGTCCTGTCTTCACCTAGCAGTTGAGGTTGCCAAACAATGGCGTTATATTGTTTCAGGTTTTACAAAATGGCACAGTGATGCCTGTATACTTCACAACTGATTCAACTGACTTTTACAGCACTTTTTACAATGTAGATTGTGTTAAACAGCTTTACATAGTTCTAGCAGATTAAACTGAACTACAACTGTGACAACTGGACTGAAGCGGTTTAGTTCAGTGTAATGTGAATGTCACTGCTTAAAGCCAAAACACAGAAGACCAAATCCAACGATGAGGAGCTTCACAAGTCCCAAACCAAGCAAGACAGAAGCGACATTGGCGAGGAGCAAACTTCACCAACAAACCCTTTTCACATGCCTAAACAGAACTCCTCACCCAGTCAGCTGTATATTCACTACAGATAGGGTTAGATGGTGACTACGGCTGTTTTCTGCATTCAAGGTGAGACATCTGACATCTAAAAACTGTTTTTGTCCTAACCGACACCTGAAATTACTATTTTAGAAACTTTTATGCTTCTATTTCTCACAGGTAATCAGCCATCGCCTCAGGTACAGCTCATGTGCTTTATTCAGTGTTAAATGCTAATAATGTGACATTTTACGTGACATTTATTACTGTACTACTGTAAGCAGCAGCAGATGGTTCACCTCAGATCTTAAAAATAAAATAAAATGTTTGAAATTGAACGTTAGGACTGCAAACCAACAGATATCAGTGATTCAGCATGTACATATAATAATGTTAAAGAGGTTTATGTGTGGAGTTTGTATGTTCTCCCCGTGTTCGCGTGGGTTTCCTCCAAGTGCTCCGGTTTCCCCTAGTCCAAAGACATGCGCTATAGTTGGATTGAATGTTAAATTCGCCATAGTATATGTGTGTGAATAAGAGTGTACGGGTGTTTCCCGGTGATGGGTTGCAGCTGAAAGGGCATCCCCTGCGTAAAACATGCTGGATAAGTTGGCGGTTCATTTCACTCTGGCGAACCCAGATTAATACATTTCTTTTCGGACTAAGTCGAAAAGAAAATGAATTAATGAATGAAGAGAGTTTGACTTTGTTTTGGATGAAAATTGCAATTGTTTTTTTTTTTTATTACAACCCGTTCAAACATTGTGACGCAGGATATTGTAATTTTTAAGATTTTCTGACCCCAAGACCCTTGAGCAATTATTTTTGGACAAACTTTTTTCAGTGTTTGCCCCTTTTTTAAGTTTTTGCCGTAATTTCCATTTTAACCACGAGATGGCAGTAACAGATCATCCTCTCAAGCTTTAGTAAGACTAGTACACTACTAATTTGAGTTTTTTATTAACGAATACAGAATTATACAGTACTATACACAGAAATACTTGGCAGAGTGTGTGTGTGTGTGTGTATATAAAACATGCAGTAATTGAAAATCTTATATTCCTTAAGAATATAACAAGTCTTCTTTGCTTTTTTATTACCAATGTTCCCCAAACTTTTGCAGTAGTCCTTAGTCTCTTGAAGGAAATGAACAAAATTTGGCTTTGATCCAGTCCATTTTTTAATGTATATGAACCCCCCCCCCCCACCCAAAAAAAAAAAAAGTACTAAGTTTTTTTTTTTTATGTGTATTAACATAAGAAATGCAAATATCAACATTTTTTTTTAACTTGAATACAATATTAGTTTTCCTTCTTAGAATACTTTCCACATCCACCCAGAAAATCATTGTGTATATACAATCACAAAACATGTGGACAATAGATTTCTTTTACATGCAACAAAAATCACAGGAATAATCTATATCCAAATTAAATCTCTCTAAAACCTCTTTAGCTGGATATGCTACACAATACACAATATATTGCATAAAAACGCCAAGCTTTTTTCCAATTTATATTTATAAATACATTGGTGCATTTTAAATTATTATATATAAGTGTATCACCTGTTATAATATTTCTAATATATTTATTAGTATAACTTTGTTTAATAATATCAAGATCTCCTAAAAAAAAAGTTTATCTTTAACACATTTCCTTCTACAGATTTATTTCCATACGCTCTTATAAAATGAAGAAGCTGTTGAGATATGGCATCAATACAATAGCATACTCTTTTGGAGTAACCGGAAAACCAAATTTATCTGAAAAATCACTGTAAGATAATAAATTACTACTAATTTGTGGTGTCACCCTAGTCGAGGAAAATAGTTTTTATTTAATTAATTTACAAATTTTGCTAACAAAATTTCACATTCATAAATGTAAATTTACTAATAGGTAACCGAATGGCTGAATGTTGATGGCTGAATTATGCTTATATATTAACAGTGTCAGAGACTCTCTAAATAAGAAAGCCCTATGCACTTTTAAACTTTGTGAATTCTACAATGTATTTATTTAATTATTACATATGTACATTCTGTGTATTTGTATTTGATTTATACTTACCCCCTGGCATGTATATGTTTGTGCTGTTAAAATGTCCCCCACAGTCCAAAGACATGCGCTATAGGAGAACTGAATAAACTAAATTGTCCATAGTGTGTGTGAATGTCAGTGTGTATGGGTGTTTCCCAGTACTTAGTTGCAGCTTTAAGGGCATTCGCTTTGCAAAACATATGCTGGATAAGTTGGCGGTTCATCCCGCTGTGGCAACCCCTGTTGAATAAAGGGACTAAGCCGAAGGAGAATGAATGAGTGAATGACTACGAACCTTCTGTACACGTTTCAAGTACAAGAGGTTTGGGCAATGGATGAAGAGACACTGTCACGTGTTATTAACGTGCATTACCAACATTATTTGAATGATTATGAGGCTGTTGACTGTATAATAAATCGTTTGGAGATCATGTTATAATCCACATAGCAATTTTTGAATTAATAACCTTTTTATGGTTTCAAAATGATAATTGTCCCTCGGTTGTATCCGTAGAAAGTCCTTCTGCTTGCTGTTGTGACGTCATGGTCGAGCAGTTTTGAATCTCATGCTGGGGAAATTAAGACACGTTCAAAGTGAACATTTCTGCTGTCTGAAGCGATAAAAGCCTGAAGCAGCCTGACGTTCTTCGACATCAGTATCGAAGAGGCAAGGAAGTTTAAATGCCACTGATTTATTGATTAGCTCATCTACTAACGTTAATTGACACACTGTACGCTTGCTCATGGTCTAAAGAAACGGAAAGTCTGGACAAATTAACTTTATTTTCTTCAAAAAAGTCTTTTTTTATAAGATATTTTTTTAAAAATGTATTTCTTCTTGAGAGGTTCAATATATGTAAAGAGTTCAATTCAGTTCAATTCAGCTTTATTTGTAGAGCGCTTTTACAATGTAGATTATGTCAAAGCAGCTTCACAAAAAAGATCATAGTAAATTGGAACAGTGTAGTTCAGTTTTTAGTGTTTAAGTTCAGTTCAGCTCAGTTCAGTGTGGTTTAAAATCATTATGAAGGGTCTAAACACTGAAGAGCAAATTCATCGATGCACAGCTCTACAGATCCCAAACCATGCAAGCTAGAGGCGACAGCGGAGAGGGGAAAAAACTTCACCAATTGGAGAAAGTGAACAAAAAAAAACCTTGAGAGAAACCGGACTCAGTTGGGCACGACCATTTTAATTTCTCCGCTGGCCAAACGTCTTGTGCAGGGCTGCAGTCTCAGCGGCGGAGGCTGGAAGCTGGCCTCGGTGAAGACTTGTCTGTGTATGGAGCGTCACAGGAATCATGCTCTCCACTCCTCCATGACCACCACAGCAGCTGCTCAGGATACGGCCTGGTCCAGGATATGGAAGCCTTGGGATCATCTCGTTGCTGGTCTTGGATCGAATCAGTGACTCTGCATAGTCTGAGGCCCTCGGGATGAGTATTCCCAGGTGAAAATGGAGAATGAAGAGAATAATTAGCGTAGCTGCTGTTCATAATGTATATGTGGAAACACGCTAAGTGATGCACTGAGTGTATACTTTACTAAACAGATAGGTCTTTAGTCTAGTTTTGAACTGCGAGAGTGTGTCTGAGCCTTGGACATCATCAGGAAGGCTATTCCAGAGTTTAGGAGCCATAAATGAAAAGGCTCGACCTCCTTTACTTGTCTTTGATGTTCTAGGTACTACCTAGGAACACTTGTATTAAACTGCTAGGAACGGCAAGATGGCGACAGTCATTTGTACCTGTGAAACGCTGCGGGAGATAAATATCAAATATCTGGGATTTCAGACGTCTGCAGGTCTGTTTTTTACCAGTTTGACTGCAACCATAGTGTTGCTACTGTTTCACGTGCAACTGCGCCGTATAATATGGGACAATTATTATGTTTGGACAACAAAAATAACTCCAAAGACCATAGTGCTACCTATGCATGGCGAAAAACACCTATACCTGAGCTGGCTTTTTTGTTTTGTTGCCGCTGTCGCCTACCTGCGTGGAATCCCTATATTGCACAATGGTGTTCAAGTCCCAAGTAATGTGTCTTGCCTCGAGAGAGCAGCTGAGCCGGGTTACCTGGACCGGAGGTATGGCAGGGGCGTTGGAACAGTATCCTGGCAGATTATCATTCCAGTGCGTGAAGTGCGGCCGTCTCGTCAGTTGTGCTGGACTGAGTCGAGTATACCCTGCATTACTATAACTGTGCCCCTGTCGGGAGACTCGGTGAAGGCGGCGATAGTTTCAGATGCATCGAGTAATATATCGTTACCCCCGAATCTGCGCAGGGCTGCTGTACCCGGTCTCGGAGAGCGAGCCTGCTTTTCCCGACAACCGGGATGTCTATTTTTCCATATATGGCTTAAGGATTTCCGGAGCGTGTCGTCCCGTCCAGTTTACATTCCGCACGATCGGGTAGTCATTTCAGCTCATGCTGTCGTCTTTCACCGGTGGGTTAATGACA